AGGGCAAAATTCAACCATCTGCAACGGCCAAAGAAGCTAAAGATGTACATTTTGAAAAGAATATTATCGTTAATGAACAAGATCTACTATTACCATGTAAACTAAACATTGAACAAAGAAGAGCTTATAATATAATCCTTGATACAATATTCTCTAATAAACCCGGAGCATTCTTCATTGATGGTCCAGGCGGAACTGGAAAAAGCTTTTTATATCGTGCCTTATTAGCTACAGTGAGACATAGAGGATTTATAGCATTAGCGATTGCGAGTACAGGCTTTGCTGCTTCACTTCTTCCTGGAGGCCGAACTGCTCATTCCCGATTTAAATTACCTATTGATGTTGATGGAAATTTCAGTTGCAATATTAGTAAACAAAGTTCACTGGCATCATTGATTCGAAATGCAAAACTAATAGTATGGGACGAAATTTCAATGGCGAAAAAGAAAAGATTGAAGCATTAGATTTGCTCCTTAGAGATTTAATGAAAACAACTATGCTGTTCGGTGGAAAGGTTGTTGTATTCAATGGTGATTTTAGACAAACTCTTCCCGTTGTTCGTGGTCGACAAAGAGAAGATTTTGTTCGTGAAAGCTTACTATGTTCCAAAATTTGGCATCAACTTTAAAAACTACAATTGTCCAGAAATATGCGTGCGAAAACAAACCCAGCTTGTTGTGAATATTTAATGAGAATTGGTGAGGGAAAAGAAAGAAAAAATGATAAGAACAAAATTGAAATTCCCCGTCCTCTGATCATACATTTCACTACTGAATAAGATTCCTTGAATCATCTATTTAAAGATACTTATCCTGATTTATATTTAACTCATTCGAATATTTCCATTATTACTTCTCGTGCAATTTTAACTACAAAGAACGACTTCGTTGACGAAATAAATGACATGCTAATTGCTCAATTCTCGACTGATGAAACTGTCTGCGAGAACTTGTATTTTCTCATGGTCAATCGTACGTTGCTTTATTAAGAGCTAAAGGTTCTAACTGTGTCAAGGTATTAACTAGACCGGCTATAGGTGACGACGATGATGATCACTCCACATATAATGAAGTTTATGTTTAAACTCGTAGGATATAAATAGAACTTTTAGATTTTAGGATTTGTTCTTGTGGATTGAACTTTTAGGATATGAATTGAACTTGTGGGATATAAATTGAACCATTTGGGTATGGGTTGAATTTTTAGGATATAAATTGAACTTTTAGTTTATGTTCAAACTCGTAGGATATGAATTAAACTTTTAGTTTTTAGGATTTGTTCTTGTGAATTGAACTTTTAGGATATAAATTGAACCTTTAACAATTGAACTTTTTAGAATATTAATTAAACTTTTAATTTATATTTAATATAATTTAATTTTTGGTGTAATTAGGAAAAAATGATTATCTTGAATTAACTAAAAAAGAATTAATTAATTTATAAACATAGAATAAATTAATTTGTTCTTGTTTTATTTGTACAGATGGAACATCGTACTTGGATGTACAATAGGAATTATCCTAATCGATGGGGATTGCGGGAGAATTTCGTAGAAGGGATTGATGACTTTATTAGACATGCAATGTCACTTCCATTGTACCAAAGTGAAGGAGTAATTAGGTGCCCTTGTGTCAGGCGCGATTGTATGAAGTTTAAAAAAACGGAGGAAGTTAATTTTCATCTTAATAGGAAGGGGTTTATAGAGAATTACTTTATATGGACTAATCATGGAGAGATCGATGGTAACCGTGGGATATTTCATAACATGGTTGTTGGTGAAAGTAGTAGGTTGGTGGAGATCTCCTTACATAAAAGCTAAAGGAATTGGGAGAATCGTTAACGGATATGACCGTCTTACATCATTGTAATCTCCTTAAACCTCTTACATTACAGTGATTTAATTTGGGGAATCGCTTGTTTAGAGAGAACGAGAGAGACGGTGTAGAGTCTAGAGAGAGAAGGTGTGTCTGTTTAGGGAGCTTTAGGTGTTTGAATGATATTTATGTTATCATTAAATTAAAAGCTAATATTTTTTTTAATAATGTTACTGAATAATAACATTAAATATTAGCGGAAAAGAATTATTAAAAATTTCGTCTAATTAGTGGCGGTTTAAAACCGCCGTAATTGTAAAAAAAACGCCGGTCTAACAATTGCGCACTAATGGCGTCAGGAACGCCACCGTATTATGATAAATATTGCGGCGGTTTCTTTGAACCGCCGTTATTTAACCGCCGCAATAATTCCGAATTTTTATAGTAAGAATACAAATCTTGATTCTAGAAATTCAGGATATGGTTGCGGATACTTTTGGGATGCTCTTCTGGGGTGAGCCCAATAAAATGTTGAACAAACTCCTAATGATGACGCAAAACGTTTTTATGAACAGTTAGAGGAAGCTAGTCGTCCACTACGTGATGGAAGTCCGCACTCTGAGCTGTCTGTTGCAGTTAGATTACTAAGTATCAAATCTGATTGGAATATTTCTCAAGCAGCCATGGACTCTTTCATTGACCTTATGAGTGAACTAGTTGACCCTAATATTAACTTACATGGTGATTTCTATAAGGCAAAGAGATTGGTTTCTAAGTTAGGACTTTCGTCAAGGAGAATTGATTGTTGTGAAGATGGTTGCATGTTATATTATAAAGATGATGCAACTTTAGACAGCTGTATATTTTGCGAAAAGCCTCGTTTCAAGAGGCTTTCCAGCAGAATATGGTCGTTGTCAAGGCGATGCATTATTTACCTCTTATACCTAGGTTAAAGAGGTAATATGCGTCGATGAGTTCTGCTCCTCATATGAGATGACACTTTGAAAATAGAAGACCACCTGGTGTTATGTGTCATTCTTTAGATGGAGAAGCTTGGAAGCACTTTGATAGGACATGCATATCAAGATTTTGCTAGTGAACCAAGGAACATTCGGTTAGGTTTGTGTGCGGATGGCTTCACGCCTTTTTCTATATCTGCGACACCATATTCATGCTGGCCTGTCTTTCTTACACCTGAGTTGTGTATGACTAGTCCATATATATTCTTAAATTGTATTAGCCCCGGTCCACATAATCCAAAAAGTTTGATTGGTGTATATTTGCAACCTTTGATTGATGAGCTAAAACAGTTGTGGTATGATGGTGTTGAAACATATGACATATCAACCAAGCAAAATTTTAATTTGCGTGCTAATTTAATATAATGTGGACTATTAACGATTTTCCTGCGTATGGAATGTTATATGGGTGGATGACTGCTTCAATAAATCTCTATGGAAAATTGTGTTATGATTTGAGATCAATTAATTTTGAAAGTCATCTAGCTTCTTGGATCAAAATTGTTTTGTTGCAGATGTTAAAACGTTAAAATGGTTTTCTGAAGATGCTGTTCTAACATGGCTTTTTATAACATTTCAGTTTCCCTACATTCCTTCTCTACAGTGATATATTTTTGTTGTTACTAGCTTTATGCAAGGCTATAGTGAAGTGTAAAGATTAGCTAATATTACAAACAGTTCTCTCTACCTTTAGGTTTCATGTATTTGGCATTGGGCAGTACCATCCGAATTGACGTTAAGAAGCAAGCTCAGAATTCGGTATTTGCTCTGAAAATCCTTACAAGTATCTTTTCTATTTTATGCTCCATCATGCATACTTGTTTCACATTTAATCTCTTAGCATACAACACTCATTTCCTTTTTATTTGTTTTTAGTGGCTAAGGTATGGTGGTGTCTTGCATGCAGGATCATTCCTTTGAAATATGTTAGTACCTAATAAAAATTGATGTCAAGCCCAGTTCAAGATTGACACCAGCCAATTCAATACCAATTAGAGAGACCCTTTCCCAATAACCAACCAGATCAAATTAGAACAAAAATCACCCATCTCATTCCACTATTGAAATGGTAAAGGGGGCATCATCTTTCTCTTTTTTCCTTTTTACGAATTTCCATATGGAAATATTGGACTTGTACGTCAAATTCAGCAAAATACTTAATTCGATAAATCAGATAGAGCAAAAAAAAAAAAATTCAATCTTGATTAAAGACTGAGCAGAAACAATAGGAAGCCAGAGAGCAACACCCAAAATAGAGCCAAAACAAATCAATCTTGATCAAGGACGTAGCAAAGAATACCGTCCTCAACCGGTATATATATATATATATATATATATAATGGACCTCACAGGATAGATCGTCAAAATTCAAATCAGGAAGACTCATAGATATATTGACTTCTCGTCACATATTACGCACGATTCCATGAGAGTATTTTATAGAAATGCCGAGGCGTACGACCCGATCCCATCTTAATCTGTGCATTGTCGAGGGTCGAACGACACAAAACCCTATGCATCTATTATACTGCAGAGGCGATCGGCCCGCTCCCATGAGAGTGTGGTACATAATCCTGCCGAGGCGAATGGCCAGATCCCATCAGAGTAAGAAGCTTTAACGGGTCCTTGACTCCACTCACGAATAAACGTATGAGTTATAACTTTTAAGGAAAACCTTTCGATGAGAACGCATAGCGCGGGAGAAATACGTAAGAGGAACACAATTATTCCGCGGCTAATCATGAAACTCGTCAAATATCTACAATAGCAAGTCTATCACTCTACGCAAGTCTAGTCTCAAGTTGTAACGTAAAATAAAGGTGTTTAATACGTGAGGGGAAACTCAAATAATACAACTATCAGTACAACATATTTTCCCTAAGACCACACTAATTTTAGACAAAGCTTAGAAAGTGTAGCCAAAAGTGTCTATAGGAACGCTTTATAAGTGTAGCCTTTATTTTGAGCTTTTGGCCACGAAAGTTTAAGCTACGTTTCTAAAGTGTACTTTATAAATATAAAGATAACGCGTTTTAAGTGTTGCCAAAACATAAAATATTTGGCAACACTTATTCATCTATATACAATGCTTTTAAAGCGTGCTTTCTTTTTAATAACAAAAGCAACACTTAACAAGTGTGCTCTAAAATAAAAATAAAAAATTCCCTCCATTATTTCATTGAGCGAAAGTTTCCCCCTATTTTCAAAGGCAAAAGAAATTAATACTTTCTCAAATTTTCAGTCAACCCCTCTACTTAGTATTGACCCATAAATCTCCATCTAGCCACCACCACGCCGCTGGTTCCACTGCTACCAAATCCAGCACCGACTAGAATTTTCTTCTCCATTGACCCAATACCTACATCTAAGAAAGAGAAATTTCAACATTCAAAAGGTATGATTTCTTAATTAAATTATTTTATTTCTTTACATATTTATCTATAGCTTAAACTCCTTTGATTCTTCTGGGTATTTTGTTGCTGTGTCGTTATTGCTTGGACTGGACTTCAAGTCTACACCTAATTAAGAACTAATTTAATTAGTTTCTATTGAAAATTAAATACAGTTATTGATAATCAACAAAACTGCCAAAACAAGGAAATAGTACTATTTGTTTGTTGGAATTGTTTGTTGATAGTGGTCTTCGATTGATTTGCCAAAATTCCTCTTCATTAGGCTTTGTGGCTTTGATTGTTCTTTGTATTAGGGTTTTCAAGTGTTAAATCAATCGATTATTTCATGGGTGTTTTTTTAATTCACATCAATGGCATCATAGGATGGGGTTTTCCGTTGTTCCCTTGAGCTCAAAGCTTTTTATAAATCAGTTTGAATCAACACATGCAGGGAAGTGCCAGATAGCTATTTCAGCGTTTGCAGGGGCCAATGGAAGAGGATACGCTCAAATCTCATTTTGAGAAGATCATCTTGATTGGGAAGAAATATCTTTTACGGAGGATTCAGGTATGTTCTTGCACTAGCATTTATCTATAAATTGTGTCTTGGATATTATAGGTAAATTAACAGTTCTAGCCTGCCAGTTTAGCCTTTTTAGCAACCATTGGTCAGCGTTGTAGGGTTGCAAAATGTGATTCGTTATAATTTAGTCAAGTCTCTGCCATAGTTTAGGTTTTTAATGATCCAAATATGCACAATATGTTCTGTTGGTTGCCGGAAGTCTAATAAATTCAGCTCCTGGTTTAACTTTTGTTATGAAGGTTAAATTGTTTTTTTAATTATAAAATTAAGCCCCCACTTGTGGGATTATACTGGGTGGTTGTTGTTGTTGTTAATTAGAAAATTAAGAAATGAAGTGTTAGCAAAATCGTCTTAGTTCGGAGAAGTGGCATAACATTTTATAACGTGCAAAGTGACCTAAGATTTCATAACATGCAAACTGGCCTACAATTTTATATCATTTGCGAAGGTTAGTTCGGGATATTCTTCCTTGAAAACTTGTTGCGTTATATGCTTTCAATTATTATGCTATAGGTCAACTCATCAATGGTAATTTTTGTATTTTCTGT